CCCCAAAACCCCAAAACCCCTTAAAGCTTTATTTCTTTAATAAAAAAATAAGTTAGGAATTAATAATTATAAATTAAAATGCAAACTAAATCTAGCATAAATATTAAATCAATAGGCTCGAATTAATTAGCAGATTTACTGTAGTATCTTACATTGCCAGAAATCATAAGATTCTCAATTATTAGCAAATATCACTATAATTTAGTTTCAAACAAGAACACTATTTGGCTTTAAATTCTACGAGTATGGAGTGAAAATGGACAAAATAATCAAATAATAAGCAGAGGATAGCTAATACCTAAAATCCTATAGTTAAACTCTAGATATCTGTATCAGTTAGGATCAGATCAAAGCAACATAAAATATACCTTAAGAAACTTACTAAATAATAGAAAATAGATAATTCAATCAAACATGCATCTTTCTATTGAAGGAGTAGAATCATCTTCATAGTATGCAGATCATTCAATATTTAGATCTTTATACAGAAATTAAATCAAGCACTATTGGAGTTCTTAAGGTTCAGAAAAAGAATCTGATTAAGAGCATCTTATCTATAAACTTACTTGCAAAGGTAAACCTTGAAAAGCGATGATATTTGGAGTAGTAATTCAAGTATTCTAACTTGGGCATCAATTATAAAATCCACTGTATCGCCCAAATCAGATATAAATTGAGATTGGTTATGAGTTTGGAAATTATCATTATAAAAGCAATATCTTTGAAGTAAGCAAAAGTTCAAATTAAGAGTAGGTTTTTAATTTGCTACCAGATTTAGTAAGTGGTGAATACATTAGGATATCTTTATACGGTAAGCCTAATGTTATGTGGAGCAAGCAAAGATATATTGTTCTTAGATACGTTGGAATTCAAGGTCTTCTCCATGAAAACATTACAAGCAAAGAAATCCTAAATATGGTTGCTTTGAATGATTTAGAGTTAAATGCTCTAGTAAAAAAAGTTTAATGATAGGAGGAAATAATAGAATATAATTAGCTATAAACTAAAGGATAAAATTCGCTATATGAAATTACAACTTTGAAAAATCTTAATTGCAAATAGAATGGAGATTATTCAGATGGTACAAATAAAGTTGAGTATATTTATAACTTTGAGCTCTCTAAAATGAACATTCCTTTAAATTAGGAGGAAATTGTTTATCTCCTAACTGCATCTTAAAGGAAATTTGGAATAATTGATTATTATCAGACAATGGCTGTTTTACACATGCTCAATCAGCTTCAAATAAAAGGATCCAACATTGAGATGAGCAGATTTCTTGAATAACTAAGATGGACAAATCCAATACTGAAATTCAGGCATTTGTAGAAAGATATTTCAAGTCTTGGTTTATTTTCTAACCAGCAAATTAGCTCTGATAATAAGTGGCTATTCTGTACAATATTCAGATTATATTCTCAATATTTTGAGCATAAAATAATTAATCCTGATAAAAATTAAACACTCGAACAAGCATTCACTCTATTGTGCGAAATCTATAAGAAAACAAACTCAATTGAAGATTATTACATTGATTTTGAAAGTATGTTCACAGTTTTGGCGAAAAAATACGGTGGATTATAAACAGTCAAATTGATCAAGGCATCTTTAATTGATTTTAAAATACCTCAGAAAGAACAAAAGCTTTTAAAACTTGTTCATACTTACATTGTGATAAATAAAGAGCCTAAAAATAATAATAAAAAGATACAATAAAAAATATTAAACAAAAAAAAGTGATTAATTATTTTAATTTCATTTTTATATATCTGATAGTCAAGTAATCTTACTCTAATCATTTTTTGCTGCCTAAAAGAATAATTCCAACTCCAATGAGAGATAAAAAGCTAGCTAAGATTTGATATAGCGAGGGGATCTATTTTAGAAATATTGCTTGAAGTATTGAAGTGTATACAGGAAATGAGTAAATAATAGCACTGGTAGTACCTGCTAAACCTTTAACAATACATTTCAATGATATAATGCTAAAAATCATCATGAGATGACTTCCAATGATATTTATGAAGAAGTTATACCAAGTATAAGAATCACAGCCTTCTATCCAGTAATATATACTGCATATCATTAAAGAAATTCCTAAGAAGAGACCTGAGTCAACAGATAAATCTACTGGCTAGTAAGCTGTTTTTCGAAACAAGTACTTTGCTTGAATGGCTCTAAAACAATTGCAAATTCCTTAAATTAAAGCTAGAGAAATAGCTGCTATCTTGAAATAGAGTTTTTCATCATCATCATAGCCATTTTCTTATTGTTACTCTTAATTTTTGCTTCCTTTTGCGATCGATATACCAACAATACTAACTATAATGACACTGATGCCTAATATTTATACTTTTGTTAGCAACTCCTGATAGAAAATGTAGCTGAAAATCGCATTTAAGGCAATACTAATACAGATACAGCTTGTGATGATGCCGAAGTTAATTTATGCCTTTAAAGCATACCCAGCGGCAAGAATAGCTAGCAAGGTTAGTGCAAAGAACATTACTGATCTGATGATCATGTGAAATATGTTAATCATGTTTAGCTTATCACCAGTATCATTGTAGTATGCTCTAAAGAATTGGTCGTTTATTAATTTTTTCGTGATCTAGCCTTTTTCTCTCATCTATAAGAATTTATAGCCCATGCAGACTGTGATAAATCCAGGAAATGATAAGCATGAAGTAGCGAAGTCAGTATCATCTAGGAGACTAAAAATAAAATTTGTGATTCCCCAGAGCACTGCTGATAAAATCGATTCACCAATGTAAGCTTTTTTTGCTACTGGATTAATTTTACTTGCATTTGTAATTGGAATCATTTCTGAGCAAATCTACTCCTCTCATAGATGTTATTACTCAGGATTTTGCCGATTGTTATCATTTAATGCTTTTGTGTTATCCTGACTGATTAGGCACAGCTCTTGCTCTTTCATTATAATTTAATGATTATCAATACTTAACTATAATTAATATTCATAAATAAATCATATCCAGGCTAAAACCTACTTATATACAATATCATTGATAATTAAAATTCATTTTTTTATTTTATATTAAATAAGCAATTTCAAACATGGGGTTTTGGGGTTTTGGGGTTTTGGGG